ATACGAAGAGAAGACGATAGAGAGAGAGAGAGAAGGAGAGAGAGAGAGAGATAGAGAGAGAGAGAGAGAGAGAGAGAGATACAATAACTTACCCTCACGTATGAAATAATACACGACCCCCCCCCCTCTTCCCCCTTCCCTCCCCCAAAAATACATACTCATTATCCAACCCATGAAACAATACCGCCCCCCCCCTCCCCCGCCCCTTAAACCATCCCATGAATATAACATTCCCACGGACGCCAAAAAAGTTGACCTCCGTTTGACCTCGTTTTGGGGAGGGAACTGACAAGGGTGTAAATTAATGTGGGCAATAATTAGCGAAAGGCAACCCCCTTGGATGGCGGTGGGAGATTTGAATTTATTTAACGGTTTTGACCTTTTTTGGGGTGGATTTTATTTTCATGGTTATATCATGTTTATATTTATGTTTGTGTTATGTTTATATCTATATCATGTTTATATTTATATTTGTTCTATTTATATATTATGTTTATATACTTATATTTATACTTATATTTATGTAATGTTTATATCTATATTTATTTTCATATCCATGTTATATTTATATTTATGATTACATTAATGTTACATTTGTGTTTACGATTATATTTGTTATATTTGTATTTATGAATTATATTCATGATATTAATGTACAATTAATAAGTGAAGTAATAATAATATTGTTGGTTTTAATGGTCAAGATGATAACGTTAATGATATTAATCATATCAATGGAAAATATTATAAAGTTAATTAAATTAGTTATGACAATGATGATAAAGCAAGAAGGAATATTCCTGTTTTGCGTCCGGGAAAAAAATGAAAACTGATGCGGCTGTTTTTCATTTTCCATTATTCATTATCAATTTCTATAAACATTTAAAGAAGATAACAAACAGCTTTTTAAAGTCATCAAATCATCTTCCTTAGTTTTTTTTGGATAATCGTGACATTTTTATTCGTATTTACGAGTAAAAGTATTTTCTCTAAAAAACATGACAATAGAACAGCTTTTCAAAATCATATTTTTATTTTTTTATTTTAATTTAATTTAATTTAATATTTTAATTGAGAAAAAGAGATGAATAAACCGTATTCATGTTAACAAATTTAAAAAAGGTATGAAAGAGAATGAATATCTTCATAATATTTTATATGTATTTGACCGGTTTCGAATTTATCTTCGTCAGAAATACCTTACATTTCTGACGAGATTATATTCGAATTTATCTTCGTCAGAAATACATATATTCGAAACCGGTCAAATACATCTCTTGTATTGTGAAGATATTCATTCTCATTCATACCTCTCTACATATAAATGAGATTTATTGAAAATAAGGACATTTTTTTTTGCGGGCGTTATCAGAACTTTGATTCTCATAATGATGATCATATTTTTCATAGCAATAATGATAATGTGATATTAATTACATCAGCCATAGCAATAAGGATAACGATAATGACGGTGATGACCACAAAGGTAATGGTAATGATGACGTCAATAGTGATAACAGTGATGATGGTAGTGATGATAAGGGTAATATTACTGGTAATGATTGTAGCAGTTGTTGAAGTAATAATGGTAATGACAGTGATATTAAGGACAGTAATAAAGATGATATTGTCATCATCATTCCATCATCACAATCAACGTCATCATCATCTTTGCCAACATCATCGTAATCACCATCACAATCACCATCATCATCATCATCATCATCACCATCACACTGAATGAGGAGAAGAAGGTATAAACGTGGAGGATTGGGAGAAAAGAGAAGGGGAAGAGAGGAGGAGAAAGAGGAGAGAGGTGAAGTTGCTAAGGAGGGGAGAAAGAGAAGGAAGAAGGGAGGAGGAGAAAGAGAAGGAAGAAGGGGGTAAAGAAAAGTAGGAAGGGAAGGGGAGAAACAGAAGGAGAAAGAGGGTGATAAAGATAAGGGATGGTGAGAAAAAAAGGAGGAAGAGAAGAAGAGAAAGAAAAAGAAGAAGTGAGCTGAAGTCACAAGGGAGGGCAGAAAGAGAAGGAGGAAGGGAGGAAGAAAGGCGATAAATACAAAGAGAAAGAAAAAAAAAAAGAGAAAAAAGAAGAGAGTCAAAAGAGAAAAAAAAGGAAAGAGAAAAGAAGTGAATTGAAGTCACAAAGGAGGATAGAAGGAGAAGGAAGAAAAGGAGAAAAGAAGAAAAAAAGAAGTGAATTGAAGTCACAAAGGAAGGTAGAAAGAGAAGGAGAAAAGTAGATAAGGAGGAAGAGAATAAGATAAGGAAATAGATAAAAGAAGTGAACTGAGGTCACAAAGGAGGGTAGAAAGAGAAGAGGAGAGAAAAAAGAAAAAAGAAGAAGTGAATTGAAGTCACAAAGGAGGGTAAAAGAGAAGGAGAAAAGAGGGGAGAAGAGAAGGAGAAAGAGGTAGATAAGGAGAAAGAGAAGGAAGAGAAAGAGGAGATACGGGGTCTCAAAGGAGGCTAGAAAGAGGAGAAAAGAGGGAGATAGAGAAAGAGAAGGAGAAAGAGGAGAGATAGGGAAGTCACAAAGGAGGCTAAGAGAGGAAAGCGGGGAGATAAGGGAAGTCACAAGGAGGCTAGAAAGAGAAAGGAGAAAGAGAAGGAGAAAGAAGGAGATAAGGGAAGTCACAAAGGAGGCTAGAAAGAGAAGGAGAAAGAGGGAGATAAGGGAAGTCACAAAGGAGGGTAGAAAGAGAAGGAGAAAGAGAAGGAGAAGGGGGAGAAGAAGGAGAAAGAGAGAGATAAGTGAAGTCACAAAAGAGGCTAGAAAGAGAAAGAGGGAGATAAGGGAAGTCACAAAGGAGGGTAGAAAGAGAAGGAGAAAGAGAAGGAGAAAGAAAGGTGAAAGAGGGGAGAAAGAAGAGAAAGAGGGAGATAAGGAACCACAAAGAGGCTAAAAGAGAATGAGAAAGAGGAGAGAATTCACAAAGGAAGCTAGAATGAGAAAGAGGAATAAGGAAGTCACAAAGGAGCTAGAAAGAGAAGGAGAAAGAGAAGGAGAAAGAGGGAGATAAGAGAAGTCACAAACATCAAAGTGTCCCGTTTAGCGCGTGGTTCGTCTTCCGTGAGTGTCCGTTCCGTTCGGGTTTGTGAATGAAATATTGAGCCTAATTTTCATTCATTAATTCCTTTTCCTTCCGTGACTAATACAAGTGCTGTGTGTATACCATATGTCCGGTGTTAGTTTTGTTGTTTTTCTTGTTGTTGTATTTTTTATTGTTGTTGTTTTCTTGTTGTTGCTGATGTTGTTTTGTTATTGTTGATGTTGTTTTTATTGTTGTTTTTGTTTTCTTGTTGTTGCTGATGTTTGTTTGTTGTTGTTGATGTTGTTTTTATTGTTGTTTTTGTTTTTTCTTGTGTTGTTGTGTTCTTGTTTTGGTTCATGTTGTTCTTATTGTTGTTTTGTTTTTTCTTGTTGTTGATTGTTGTTTTTGTTTTTGTTTTCATGTTGTTCTATTGTTGTTTTTGTTTTTTCTTGTTGTTGATGTTGTTTTTTGTTTTCGTTTTCATGTTTTTTTTATTGTTTTTGTTTTTCTTGTGCGTTTCTTATTTTTATTTTCTTGTTGTTATTTGTTGTATGGGTCTGGGTTGGAACGAATTGTGTCGTTATTGTTTTATTGTTTGTTGTTGTTATTGTTGATGCAAGATGATATGACGATGGTGGATGTGTGATGATGATGATGATGGTGATGACGAGAACGATAATGTGTGTGCGATGATGATGATATTATTATGATAATATCATAATATATGATGATAACAATCATAATGAATAATATGATAACAATCATAATGATAATGATAACAATCATAATGATAATGATAATCATAATGATAATGATGATAACAATCATAATGATAATAACAAAATAATAACAATAACGTTAATGCAAACTCTATTGATAATAATAATAGTAATAATAATAATAACGACAGTGATAGTAATGATAATAATGATAATGACAGCTAACAATGATAATGCTAATAGAATGGTAATGATAGTAATAATAACGGTAATAATGATCCAACCTGAACAATACTCTCCTTCCATCTATACACAGACACAGAACAACGAACCAGAGCACATAAGACAAGCGAAATGTACACCTGAACAGTTATGTACAAGTAACAAGATAATGGGGTCTATAGAGGAGTTTTCAATGTGACAATAACCATCTCTAAAGGGCCTATAATTATGTCTTTATAAGGGGTTTCTCAACGGCTCGTAATGGGGTCTTGGCAGAGCCCATAATGGGGTTTGGAAAAAAAAATTGAGAAATTTCGAAAGGCCATAATGGGGTTTGGAAAAGAATTTTTTTTTAGAAATTTCGAAAGGGCTGAATGGGCTTTTGAAAGAATATTGCAAAAGATTCTCAGAAATTTCTAATGGGTCTTTTCTGGAGCTTTAAGGGGGTCTCTCATAAGTCTTCCAATAATTTTTCAAATGTTTCTTCAGGATTTCTTTAAGGTTTCTAAAGGGACTCAAAAGTTTGTATGGATCTCTTATAGTCTCTAAAAGTCTCTCAAAGGTATTTTAAGTCTCTCAAAAGTCTTCAAGGTTTCATAAGGGTATCAAAGAGTCTCTTAAAGTTCTCTTCAGGATTTCTTAAAGGTTTCCAAAAGGGACTCTCAAAGGTCTCTTATGGGTCTCTCAAAGGTATTTTAAAGGTTTCTTAAAAAAGTCTTAAAGGTTTCATAAGGATTTAAAAAGTCTCTTTAAAGTATTTTAAAGATTCTCAAAAGTCTTAAAGGTTTCAGAGGGTATTAAAGAGTCTCTCAAAGGTATTTTAAAGGTTCTTAAAATCTTAAAGTTCATAAGGGTTTTAAAGAGACTCAAATATATTTAAGCGTCACGAAAAAAAATTTCTTAAAGGTTTCATAAGGGCATTAAAGAGTCTCAAAGGTATTTTAAAGGTTTCTTAAAAGTCTTAAAAGTTTTGAAAAGTCTCTCAAATATATTGTAAGCGTCACTCAAAAAAGACTTAAAGGTTTCAAAGGGGTATTAAAAAGTCTCTTGTAGGTATTTCATAGGCTCTCTCAAAAGTCTTAAAGGTTTCAAAAAGGGTATTAAGAGTCTCTCAAAATGTATTTAAAGTTTCTTAAAAAATATTAAAGGTTTCATAAGGGTTTTAAAGAGACTCTCAAATATATTTAAAGCGTCTCTCAAAAAAGTCTT